ACTGCTCACTGTCTCTGCTTCATTTTCTAGCCTCTATGTCACACCCTGCTGTCTGGGTGCCAATCACCTTGGCTTCCTCCTACTTATTCCCACTACCTCAGGGCCTTTGTATGAGCTTCTTTTCCCTTGATGTGCTCCCCTCTTGTCAGCACTTCCCCAAGGCAGCTCCTTTAACTCTCATCTCAGGTGATCCCCATCAGTCCTTGATCCCCTCTCCCATTCTCTTGTTTGGGGTTTATGCTTACTTGTTACCACTTGTCCCACTTGCACAGTTCTTCTGTGGTCAGTTTAGTTGCTGGTGACTGTCTTTTTTTTTTTTTTTTTTAATTTTTTGTTTATTGCAGTAACATTGGTTTATGACGTAAAAATTTCAGGTGTACATCATTGTACTTCTATTTCTGCATAGATTACATCATGTTCACCACCCAAATACTAATTACAACCCATCACCACACACATGTACCGAATTATCCCTTTCACCCTCCTCCCTCCCCCCTTCCCCTCTGGTAACCACCAATCCAATCTCTGTCCCTATGTGTTTGTTTATTGTTGTTATTATCTACTACTTAATGAAGGAAATCATACGGTATTTGACCTTCTCCCTCTGACTTATTTCACTTTGCATTATACCCTCAATGTCCATCCGGTGACTGTCTTTCCACTGACCATATGCTCCATGAGGGCAGGAGCTGTGTCTGATTTACTTACCTTTTCTTCCTTTGCAATTACTTGGTAAATATTTGAAAAAATGAATGTCAGTGCCTACGGGGAAGTTAGTAGAAAGCTGGAATTAGAGTTTGTGTGTCTTGACTTTCAGACCAGAGCATTTCTCTTTTCACCAGGGGCCCAAAAGCATCCCCTGATGGACACTGGTATTGTGGGTGATCTGGGGTCCCATTATTAAGATCCAATAATGGTAGTGTTTTCCATCTTGTAGTGTTAAAAATGGCGGGGGTGGGGGGCGGCGGGTTGGAGGTAAGACAGTAAGTAGCTAGTTTTCCCTCCCATTCATTTTTATTTAACTTTTGACACCTCCTTCTGTTTACTCAGATTTTGGTGTGAACATTTGTTTAGCCCAGCATTATAATAGACATGTTGAGTATAATTTATAAACAGTTGGTAGATGTCCTGCAAAGAATACGATGAATGCCAGGTACTTGGTCTGCTCTTCAAGCTCAGGAAAAAACTAATTCTGTATTCATGGTGTGACTCCTAGCTCTCCCTGCCCTGTACACAGCATTTTTACATTATGGGGAGCCCCAGACATGGGAGGAATCTGTGAAAGCTGTGGTTCCTCTCCCTGGGATAATAACCTTTGTAAATGATACTTATATAATGCCATCTTTGTGCCATGATGTCCTGTATGAATTACTATTCTGAGCAGTCTTCATATGTCAGCCCTTGTGATCTCATAACACACCTGTGAAGTTGTTGTGGTGTTATTCCAGTTTTACAGAATAGGAACTGAGGCACCTAGGAGTGCAATAATTTTCCCATAACTGGACAGTGGCAGATCTAGGATTCAATTTCGTACTCAATAGCTCTAGAGTCCAGCTCCATATATGCAGCCACGCTCAGAATTTTACTTCCTATATCAGGATGGCGTAGACCCGAAGTCAATGGGCAGCTACTGCTATGAACTTTGGTCTCTAGGTTAAGAAACCCTGAATTTGAAGCCTCCAGCTCCTTCCACTCCCTCCATCGTTCTGCTTTGATTTCGTCACAATCCATGTTAGCAGTTTAACAACCAGATGCCCGAGTTTTAGAAAGTCCACTCCCATTTGTTCTAGAAAGTCCACTCCCACGTACCTTTCCCGCCTCCCTGTCATATCTCATCATTCTCCAGTCTTTAGCTGTTGCTTGCTGTCTTCCCAATTCTCACCTTCTACAGGTTCAACTCTTACTGCTATTGTTTTAAAATTTAAAGTTCATTTATTTATTTATTATTATTGTGGTGTTATTTACTTACTATTTTTCTTTCAGTTAACTAACTTTATTTTAAATAGATGAACTGATTTTAAAAGAAAACTTTTTATCAACACCACGATGGGAAAACCAGTGCTATTTGACATGGACAGACTTACGTAAAAAAAAAGTCTGTGATCTATGAAAATAAATCAAAGTTACTAAAGTTATTAGAGTCTGGCATAATATTTCCTCTTGGGTAAAAGGGGGAAATGAATGAGTATCAGGGTAGTGAGGAGGGCATATTAGCATCAAATTGAGATTTTGTTTTTGTTGAGGTGACCAAGGGTTAGAAATAATCAAGAAAATCAAGAAAGGAAATAATATTTTTCTTTGTGTTTTAGTGAACTCAAAGCGTCTACTTGACAGTTAAGATCTCCTCCCCCGTATGTGGGCCACACCTACCCTTGCTGTTGTCCCTGCCCAATACACTTTTTAGTTTGTGGGAAAGGCAGTAGTGCTTTAAATTGGAACTCTCTCTGAAGATGGAGCCTTACACCTGTGTGGTCGCCCTTCTGTGCTGCACGTGAGCTCCATCCATGTCTCTAGAAATGAGTTTGACACTAGCCGCCACTGAGTGTGTGCATGCTGGATTTCTGGCACTGTGTTAAGTGCTTTTAGTGTGTGATTTCCTTCAGTCGTCAAAACAGCCTTGCCGGGTAGGAAGAACAGTGGTGGAATACTGAGGTACACAGAAGTCAGGTAACTTGCCCAAGGTCACACTACTGTTAAGTGGCAGAATGAGATTCCAACGCAGGTCTGTCCATCTCCTGAGCTCATGTCTCTTAGTACATTCTGTGTTCTGCACTAAGTACCTTTGTTCCATTTTGTTTTGAAACAGAGCCATGTTATCAGTGGTCATCAGAAAATTGTTACTTGATAGCTGGGAAAGTTCTCTCTTCCCAGTTTTATATGTAAACAAAAATATAAGCCACTTTCTTAAGTGGGTTACGTACACGTAACATGCTGTGAGAAGTACTGTAAAATGAAAAATGAGATTAATGTTTCAGATTGTACAGTTCCCTAATTATGCTTTTAATTATTCATATAAAACAAGTAAAATGACCCCTGACAGAGATATAAATGATTTAGGTAAAATCAAATATTTATAAGATGCTGCTGAGTCTCTGGGTGCATCGTAACAGATGCATTCAAAATGCTTTGCGTTCATCCTTTGGATACAAAATATTATGTATATAATGTATAACAGGCTGAGAGTAATCAACAGTATTTAAGACACTACTGAGCTAATTCATAGGTATTTTGGCTTTGGAACTAAATGTGTATGATTGGTTTAATATAATAGTTTATCTTCTAAAATATCATATTTTGTTTTAGGGATCACCAAATTTCAGTAGCCCCCTGCTTTGTTTCTACATTTTTTAATGGTTGGAAAAAAATCAAAAGGAGAATATTCCATGACGTGAAAATTATATCCCAATTTCAGCGTGGATAAGTGAAGTTTCACCAGAACATAGCCTCACCTTTTCCTTTACGTCTAGTGTTGGGCTGTTTCTGTGCTGCCGAGATGAGGTTGAGTAGCTGCAGCAGGGTCCACAGGGCTCACAAAGCCTCCAATATTTACTATCTCAGCCTTTATAGAGAAAGTTTGCCAATCCTTGTTCTAAAACATGCCTAGCACACAGTAAAGGTGGAACGATGCTGTAGCATGTTTCAGCAGCATAAGAAACACTTGCTTTTACTTGATTTTATCCTTTAATTCGCTGTCCCACTAATTGAACGTTTACTGTATATTTTTCAGAACTTGGAGAAAAACTGCCTTTTGAATGCAATAAAAAGGGATTTACATGAGCGGGGTTCCTTCACTTGCTTTTAATGCTTCCTTTATATAGAGAAATGCTGAAACTAATTGCACTGTTTTAGAAATGGGTCATTAGTCTAGTCCCTATCTTTTATGGAGACCTAATTTTCATGCAGGATTTCTCACTAGAGCTCGAACTGGGATTTCTTTAGGAAGAGGAGACAATGAGGGTACGAGAGCTTTTCCTTGGCTTAAAACAGGCTTGGCTTTTGATAACAAACCATTCGGTATATTGGTTGGCATCTTACACATATTTAGCAGCCAATAAGTGTTTGTTGAATGACTGAATGAATTCACTTTAGAAAACAAAGAAAAAGGGGGGGAGGGAAGTAGCCCTTATACAATAAAATCTGTTTTTTACATTCCTTTTGGAAAAATAACTTTTCTGCTTATATAAGTCCAAGCTATTTGTTCTCAATTTCTCTTTTTACTGTTTCAAGGAAGAGGAATGTGTTTTTGAAAATTAGAGTTTGAATTGATTGAGGTTCCCTACATTATGGACATTCTTATGTGTTTGTTCAGATGGGCTAAGGGGAATTTTCTTATATTTGGAATTAAAAGAACAAGTAAAGTAAATCTAGTTATCTGCAGTTATTTGAGTGACTTAATGAGTAGAATTTTCACTGCACTTTCCTGGGCACTGTTATCAAGAATGATGAATATAATACCCAATCCTGGCTGTCTTTCCACTGTCGTTGCCTTAATATTGGAAAAACCTGCAAATTTTATTTCCCGATATCTTGCCTACGTTTTCTGATCAAAGAAACGTGCCTCCCACATCTGGCTTATCATATATATTTCCCATCTCATTCCAGACTTTGAGTCTTGGGGCAGCCCCAGGAATCAGTGCTTCAGAAAGAAAAATCTCACTCTTCGGATAATTTTGGTCATCAAGCCGATTTAGGAGACCCTGATTCAGAGCGACTTGGTTTTTCATTGTCTCCATTTTTTTTTTCGTCTGTGAAATGGATAAGAAATTCTGAGACCATTCCCTGGGAATTTTCATGATTTAGAGTCAGTTGGTACTTGGGAGCATTCTGCAGTTAGAATGTGCTAATTTATTCAGACTAGTGGTTTTGACTTGTTTTTTAACAGGTACATGAGGAAATAATTCACATCATGTAATCATGAACTTTATTAGAAGCAACAGAAGAAATCCTTCAATTGTGGTTTTGAAACTCACTATGTTTCCCTTCCCTTCCATTTTATACAGTTGCCATCCTTCTAAAAGATGACTATTTTGTCAGCGGCGCTGGCCTGCCTGGCAGATTCAAAGCCGAGAAGGTGGAATTTCACTGGGGCCATAGCAATGGCTCTGCGGGCTCTGAACACAGCATCAACGGCAGGCGGTTTCCTGTTGAGGTAAGAGAAACTCAAGATGTCAAAGTATAGCTGTGCTTTGGGTCTTTGTGTTAATGAGATGCTTTGTTTTCCCCCAGTCGTTTTGCAAATCAAACTTGTACCCTAGCTATCTTTGTCTCTGGAAATCTTTTTATAGATAGCATGGCAGGTGGATATCCATGCTCAAGTTTCTCATCTTTGTTCAACTGGAGAAGTCACAGACATGGTTTGAGTAGACTCATGCCAGTCGATGATTTTCAGCCATTTGTTTTGTTTGACAGTTTCTTTTCACTGTCCATTTCTGAAACTCCGTTTTCTAAAGGTGAAATGTGTGAAATTCGGATGACTTGGTTTTTAGCCTTTAGAAAAGAGCAAAGTTAGTTGATAAATGAAGATGAGTCTCAGAACCTTCTCTCAGTAGGGAAGCTGTTTGAAGGTTTGTTTGCTGCTGTCTGCTGTCGAGAAAGAGGCCTTGGCCATTGGTGGTATGACTTGCTGTTAACTTTACTGAGATTGATGGGACATTTTGCCTCCCCTGTGTCAGTTTTCTCAAAGATCCAGGCGGCTGGACAGAACAAAGGTGTGGGTGCAGTAGGTCGTGTGTATCTTTTTGGTCAAGGAAGGAAGAAAAGAGCAAGTCTCCGAACTCCTTTATTCACGTTGGGTGAGGACAGCATATTTCTTCCATTGCTAACCTTATTTTTCCCTTTAATCATGATGAGGATGTGAATAGGTTTTGTTAGGACAAACATGTTTGATACTTGGTTGGTCGCCCATGTGGTAAGCCTTACAAGTTGGTGGGAACTGAAGGGGTGTGCATTCAAGCCTGTGGCTGGACTTAAACATGGAATGACTTTGGATAATTGTGTCATTGTTAGCCTGTTTTAATTGAAGGAGCCAAGTGGCTAAGGAGAGTTCTCAACTCTTTGTGTTTTATAACTTCTATTAAGTTATGATCTGCTTTGATAATCTGATGCATACTTGAGACTCTCTCCATAGAGAAAATACATATATGCATTTGCACACAGATTTACATATAATATATAGGGTTTCATCACTCACCACAGCTCCTCAAGCCCATTCACGGACCCGACCTTCTGGGCATCCTTGAAGCTTAGGTGAAGAATCCCTGCAAAATGAGAAAATCCAGTTGTATTTCTTTGTTTATAGATGCTTATATTCACATATAGATTTGTTTCTTTTCCATGATTTCTGGAGAAACCAGAGATAACTACTCAGAGAAATTGCTTCAAAATTTTTCTTGTTTACCTGATAAATTCTCAAAACCAGAGTTTCTTCCTATATTAGGATTCTTCTATCTGTGGGACTTCCAGTCTTAGTCACACTAATTATATGTCTCAGGAGTAGGGGTTCTACTTAATGCCCTCTTGTCCTCCCTTTAAATTGAATGAATCATTGTTAGAAGTCTTAGCTTTATTTGTACTTCTTAGAATCGAAATTACATCAGATTTTTAAGTTTGGGGTTTCCTTTGTGTTCTTGCTGACCAGTTCCCTTTGGCTGTGTGAGTTGAAGGGATAGTTTGTGTCCAGCTAACTTTGCTCTAAAGCCTCTTTATCTTAGAATTGGGTTGCTGTTTCTTCAGTTAATTTTGTTCCAGACAAAAGATCTGTGCTTGAAAGTTTGCAAACTTAATTTGGCGGCTGCCTTGGAAAAGATCTCTGGAGTTAGGAACTGGGAACTTCTGCCTCCTCCTCAGTCATATCCTCTGACACCAAGCTGCGCCTGTCTCATCCTCCTGTTTGATTCTGGAAAAATGCATTGACTAGATGCATATTCTTTTGAAAATTTACTACTTTAAATGAGTATTTCAGTTTTCTTTTATTCAAAGAGTGCCATTAAATTCAGAAGCTATTTAGAAATGGCAGCTACAATGCACAGACTTATTGTTTGACCAAGTTGTTTGAATTTACTTCTTTTAAGTAGTGTCAGATGGTAAAGCTGCCTGTATTAATTGGGTCCTTCATCTAAGCCCATCTGCTTCATAGCTTGTTTTTTTGTTTTTAATGTGATAAACATGTTAAATTACTTAGTAGATCTATTTGGAGGAACTTGAATATCAGAGATCAAAGGTAACAGGAGCAAATTTAACTTTAAAGATTTTATTTATTTTATTTTTTGCCCCCAAAGCCCCAGTAGATAGTTGTATGTCATAGCTGCACACCCTTCTAGTTGCTGTATGTGGGACGCGGCCTCAGGATGGACAGAGAAGTGGTGCCTCGATGCGCACCCGGGATCCGAACCCGGGCCGCCAGCATCGCAGCGCGCGCACTTAAACACCAAGCCACAGGGCCGGCCCGCAAATTTAACTTTAAAATATGTGCAAAAAAGTTGCTCACTCTTGCCCAAACCACTTCTGTAATATTTTATGTTAAATTGCTTTATTTGAGCTCTTTGTTAATACCAGCTCTCCCTGAGATTTTTATACTGTCTGAACATCTCAGACTTGGTTTATTTCTTTCCACATAACTACGTTGTTTGCCAAGAAACTAAAATGAAAGTAAGAAAATGTTAATTTATCGTGTAGTAATTTATCAGCGTTGGGGTCATTACTTTTTTGTCTTGTGTATGAGAGTCAGAGAAGAGTCATTGTTGAAGATTGCACTGGGACTGGTAGAGTACAGCATTGGTTCTCAGCTGGAGACCGCGTTCCCGCCAGAGGGGACATTAGGCATTGTCTGGGGACATTGTTGGTTATCCTTATTGTAGGAGTGGTATGCTACTAGAATCTTGTGGGTAGAGAGGCCTGGGATACTGTCAAACATCCCAATTCATATGACATCCCCCATGACAAAGAATTATCTGGCCCAGAATGTCCCTGTTGTGAGACTCTGGAGTGGTGAAAGCAATGTATTTAGTGGAATTGAGCCTTGCTTTACTTATGTGGCATCATTTTAAGTATATTTGAATAACAAGGACTCATTGCTTGAGAAGCTGTTCCATCCCCTTGTGGTTTTTAGAGAGAAAATGTGCCTTGCCTTATGGGTACGAGCGTTGCTGGTCCTGGTTCCTTTAGATTCTGTTTGAGATCGAGTCATGACCTTGGGTATCTCAACAGCTGCCTCAGTGCTCTAGCTCTGCAGGTTGAAGTTGAAGCATATGTCCCACAAGAATCTGGATCTGCTCCCTGAGGGTAAATTGCAACAACCCCACTTTGTAGGTTTTGCTGCTTCCCAGGAATTCTTTGAGGTCATCTACAACAACTTTGTACACATCCAGGAATTAGACCTCTCCACATTTTCCTGGCTGAAATGCTGAACTCAATCTTGTAGTTCCTTCATTTAAAATCATGCAGTCTAATAGGAAAATAAACGTCCTTGGAAAAACAAAACAAAAGCCCTTCAGTAACTTACATTCTTTACGGCTCAGTTAAAGTTAGAAGACACAGTCAGAGTCAGATTACAATGCTATGCCTAGGAGACCAAACTCAGTTTGGATCCTCAGATGCCTTCGCCTTCTATTATTCAGCTTTATTCCTTGCCTAGCAGCAAATTTTTCTTGAGTGGCTCCTTTTGTCTAGGCGCTGGGTTACAGCTGTGAACCAAAAAGACGCTATCTCTACCCTTGAGGTATTTACATTCTAATGTGACATAGAAATTGAACAAGCAATCACATAAATTTCTGTGTAATATCAGTTGTGATATAGTCTCTGATGGAGAGGGACATTTTGTCATGAGCTGGAAGACCTCTGTGGAAACAACTATTTATTAAGATATAAGACATTTATTAAGATGGAAGAGTTGAATTGGAGCCTGCCTTTAGAACAGGGATATGCAAAGGCCCTGAGGCAGGTGATACTTAGTAAGTTTAAGGAATAAAGAGAGATCAGTGGGAGTTTTGGTAGGCAGGATAATTGCCCCCCCAAAATGTGCACTCACTAGTCCTTGAAACCTGTGAAATATACATATTACTTTACATGGTGAAAGCGACTTTGCGGATTTGATTAAGTATCTTTAAAGTGAAAAGGCTCAGAATATTCCAATGACTAAAACAGTGGTGTCAGAGTATCCTGTTACAGTTCTTTCATGGCTACTCAATTTTGTGTTGTCTGTCCAACCACATTTATCTAGGCAGCTTCTACCTTCTCGTAAATTTTCTCCCCATCCCACACTCATTCCCTCTTCTGTGATTGGTAACTTAAATAAAGGTTTGTGTAACACTAACAGGAATTGAATCATGCGGTGTTTCCACTAATGACTGAGGTTGGAGTTAATGCAAAGAGAAATCTCCAGATAAAACCTCTGAGAACTCCATTCAAGTGGAGGTTCATTGCATGCTTGTTGTCTGAGGTAATTAAAATCTTGTTTATTATAATAAGAGATTGCAGGAGTTGTTGATTCAGACTTATTGGTGCTTTATGAGTTGAAGTCTTCAATAAGCTTAAATGATCCAAACTGATTGTGTGTGCCCTTTCTAGTGAGACTCACAGCTGGTTCATTTCAGCTCTGTTTAGAGCATCTTAGCAAGTGAATAGAAGCAAAGATATTTTTCCTAATACACACCATGTATGCGTTACCATATGGTACAGGTCTACAATCCCTTAGCTGAAGCCCTTGAGGCCAGATGTTTTAAAATTCAGAATCTCTTTTAGAAAGGTATTATGGTGCATATGCCATATATATTACAGAGGGCACGCAGTAGGGTTTGAGACTATACCCCTTGAATGCATTAATATTTCTGCAGCATGCAGGTGAATATTTACACTGAGTGGGAAATATCAGTATTCTAAATAGCTTCACATCTCTTTGCATCAGGTTTTACCACCGTGTTAGTTTTTGTACCAAAATCGTAAATAACAACAATAACAAAACACCTTTGGTCTTGGAAGCCTTTGAGCTTTCATAATCACTGATAAAGGATTTATGGACCTGTGTTTTAAAAACTAGGTTCATAGCATGGCACCACTGGTTTATGTTCCAAAGAGCGTGGGTTAGTTTCAACCATGACATAAGCACGTTGATTTATTTGTCTACCAGGTGGGCTGGATGTGTCCAAGTACTAC